ACAACTGTGTTCTTTATGTTTCCAAGGAAAAAATTATTTGAACCCCCTGCAAGAACCACATGTTCTCCAAATTTGACAGTTGCCATGTTGCACACCTCGTAGGGCAATGGTGCAAGTTTCTTAAACTCGTTCTTCGTTATGTCATACATGGTAACATTGGCAGTACCTGGACAGATTATGTTAGTAGATGTAGCTGGATCAGGTATTTCTCTGGCACAACCTCCAAAAATCAAAATTTTTTCATTCACCAGGACAACACCACAACCGTTGATGGGTGTTGAAGAAGGCAAATTAGCCAAGATCTTTGTAGTGAAAGGAAAATGTAGTTGGATTTCGTAAACCAAGTACGAATGATCTTTATCATCGCCGTTGCTGCCAAGGACAATTAGTCGGTCATTATACAGTACACTGTAATGTCCTCTTAACGGTCTGGGCAAATTGACTTCGAGATTGGACCAGCAAGGTGGGACAAACGGATTGGCATTGCGACTAAACTGTTCAATGCTACTCAGGTCCGAGTCACCTGAGTTACCACCTGTGACAAGAACCTGGCTATTGTAAACAAGCGAACTTGCATTGGCACGACATGTTTTCATTGGTTGCAATTGTACCCAAGAATGAGAGGTTTTATCGAAAATTTCTGCAGAATTGAGTATCTTTCCTTTCTTTCCATATCCGCCAGCCACAACATATAGATATTCATTCGGATTTTTCTCATATTTGAAATCACAATTTGGTTCTGCTGGAGTGGCTTGATCACTACGAGCGCTTTCCATATCATACACTGCTCTGTGCTGTCCATCCCTGAATCTGGCTTCTTCCACGTTTAACAACTGATTTTCCACTTTCCCGAACCTCTTTTGCATTTCCTCAAACCTGTTTTCCATTTCCTCAAACCTGTTCTCAAACTTGTTTTCCATTTCCTCGAACCTGTTTTCCATTTCTCCTAACCTGCTTTCCATTCCTTCAAACCTGTTTTCCACGTTCTCGAACCTGTTCCCCATTTCCTCAAACCTTGTTTCCATACCGACAAACCTGTTTTCCAGTGCAGTCAAACCAGTTTTCATTTCATTCCGCTGTTCCTCAACATTTGTATTCAATTTTGCTACATGCTCGCACAGACCACCCAAACTGGTTCCAATGTCTTGCACCATGGAACCCATCTCTTCACAATTTCGACATTTCACTTTACGAAATCGACATTCTTCGCTCTCGTGTCGAAATTGATCCTCTCTGTTGATCTCGCTTGAACATTCTTCATTCGCGCACACAACTGGAGCCTTACCACACACAGCGACATGACTTGCCAAGTTTCCAAGCTGAACGATTTCCTCACACCCACGCTCGTGATGATCACATCGAATTCTTTGTTCCGATAATAAATTTCTTAGAATGCGCGGTGCGTCTGCTAGCGATTCCACGGTTAGATCTTGATTACAAGAAGGGCAAGTGTGGTAATTTTGAAGATGCTTGGTGATACAACCTCGACAAAAACAATGCTCGTTTTTGCACATAACTGGATCCTTGAACACGCACGAACAAATGGCACAGTGTAGGTTCTCGCTTAAAACTGTTTCGAACCGTTCGTCCAGGTAGCCGAACTCATAGAAATTCTTACTTCTCTCTGCCATTTTAGCTAGTCAGTGGTGCAGACATTCATCAAGTAAGTCATTATTCAGCAACCGTTCTTGAAACTTGCGACCTAAAATCCGTGGAAATTTAGTTCCCAGACTTTTTTAAACAGTTATATTTTCTAGCCTTAATACTATAGTACATCTCAGTATTTTTTGAGATACGTAACGTAAACAAGCGAATTCGTCTTTCATATGTAGTACAAAAGTATAGTATATATGTATGAACATATTTAAAATACTCAATAATTCATAAACCTTGTGGCAAATTATGTCAGCCATAATATGTCACGTGGAGTGACTTTATTTCTGATAAAACTCATTTTCATTAGTATTCTTTATATAATTGTTCATCCTAATTAGTATGATTATATAATTTTACATCCTAATTAGTATTCTTTTGTGGTAGTATTCTATTCAAAACACTAGAACTCGCGTTTTATCCTGCTCGTGTTTTAAATCGGCCGTAGTACATAAGTATATAAGTAAATTTAAAATCGACTACCATTTTAAGCACCATACAAAACATTTAAAGAATATATATATAACTGACACTACGCTCACACTAAGCCCGAGTGAAATAATGACGCCACGTTTTAGGTCTGTTTACACTATAAGGCCTGTTTCATACGTCGAATTTAATTCAGACGAATTTAATTCGTTATTATATTCATCGATTGACCCAGTTTAAAATGGTTTCATTTCAAACGACGAATTTAACACAGACGAATTCATTTTGTGTTTAGCGATCATGGATTAATACACAGAAATAGAAACCACGAGATCACAAACGTGAACATAATTTATGCATTTAATTCGACATGGTGATACGACGTATGAAGACGTTGTATCCGTCTGCTTATGACGGATAAAACGTCTTGGACGAATTTAATAAAATCAGACCGTCGCATTTAATTATCCTTTCCCACGAAGGCCAAAATCCGCCATTTTTGGAGTAGTGTCTGCCATCGTAAAAGATTCTAGACAATTCAAACAACGTGAAAAGCGACTTTTAAAAGTTGTAACTTACTTACTGTAAATTAACCATATTATACAAACAACTATAATACTAAAAAGTTGTATTTCATGGGAGAGGCAGGACCCCCAAAATGGCGGAAAACTCGGCCGTGAGAAAGGCTAATTCATCAATGAAATTCGTGAAACAGGCCTAAGCCGTTAGAGTGTCGATACCGGGTACAAAATAAGGACGGTACCGCTGTTCACACGACGCCGCCAAGCGCTCCGTTTAATGAAATTTAGAAACCGTGCTCAAATTGAGTAGGGTAAAACGACGCGACGACTAATTGTGACTTTCTAGGCCTTTTCCAAAACGCTTCGTCGTAGCGTGAATGTATAGTCTGAGATCCGCCATTGTAGACATTTAATATCAACAAACTTACCGAGTTAAGCTTCCGATCCTAAAATCCGTGAAAGTTTTTTTACATCCATTGAAAACAATGATATCTTCTATAGAGCCTTAATCTCAGTATTTTGTTGAGATATTTACTTCTTGACTTCTGCGATTTGAATTCGCATACGCTGACAGCTGTAATCCTATACTATTCCTTTCATATGATTTTTTTTTAATATTGAACAATTGCCAACCAAACTAATATCACATGCATGATACTTTACACTTTACTTCTGTCGTACAAGGTCACGAGCAGCTGGGTAAACGTTTTCACCTTTAAAATCATCAAACAGATTAAACGAAATATATTAAAACATTCCTTTGAAAACTAAAGATTTATATATATATATATATATATATATATATATATATATATATATATATATATATATATATATATATATATATATATATATATATATATATATTTATATATATTAAGTATACTTTATAACTATACGTCAGTTAGTCGATAGTGCAATCTGATGGCGATTTAATATAAGCTAGCTACATTTGCAATATATTTCGCTAATTTGCGATTATTTTCTAATTTTACTGCAGTTTTAATTTAAATTTAGCCGTTTAGTGGGCTGGCTATAATTGTAGTTGTGATCGTTATAAAATATATCAACAACAATAGTATAATCTAATTAGCACCAGCCAATCAAATGACAGATTTAAAAAATCGTTTGTCTAATCGGCCAATAAGACGAAAAAGCCAGAATCTGGTTTTTACATGCGCCGCGGTAAAGAATTGTATCAGGCCCTCCTTCATTCGCCGCCGCCAATTAATCCTGGCGAATGAAAACATAAGGGCCTGATACTCAGGTTATAGAAACGTAGGATATATAGTCACGGATGCGTCACAAACACACAACATACACAGATACATCACAATCACACAACATTAACAATCTATAACTATCAACAGTATTAAAGTTTTTATATTAATATAATCTTTTTGTGTTCAGTTCAGTCGTCTTAGCCAGTTTGTTCGTGAAGTTTTCTTTACAGAACGATCTAAACCCGCGTGTTGTGGCAAGTTTTTTTCCCACGTCTGGAAATTTGTTCCACAAGGAAGGAGCCAGAAACGAAAACCTGCGTTTCCCTGCGTTGGTCCTGGCTTTGGGGAGAAACAGGTTATTGTTTTCTACTGCCCTTGTAGGGTGGTGGTGTGTCGACTTTTCTACAAGCGTGCTGAGGCAAGGTGGGCTAATTTTGTGGAAACAGTTGAAGGTTTGTAGGATGCGATGGCGGATGGTATCGACTATAGGGATTATTTGAAGGTGCTGGAACAAAGTTAAGGATGGAGTAGTGTAGTCCGCGTTCACGAGAATTCTTGCAGCTCTTTTTTGGGCGGAGGTTAATTGACTAAGCGCATCCCCAGAACAGTTACCCCACACAC